TGAAAACAAAAGAAAAGTTCGAATTCACACAGAGTATGTTGATAAATATCTGATCTTTCCTATCTCAACTCCAAATAAACGACATATTAATCATCAACTTATTTCTTCTCCATTGAAAAGAAAATCGAAGTTCAAATTTAAAGAAAGTAGTACCGTTTCTGCAAAAACAGAGAGGGAGTTAGAGAATTCAAGGTTTGATATTTTTTTTATACCGTTCTCTGTTATTGCTGTAGTTTTTATGTGGACACCCCTTTCCTCCGTTCCTTGTGGACACACGGCTGGTGTCTCCTTAGAACATTATTCGACAGCTTCCCTGATAACTGAGACTTTAACAGATAAACAAAAATTACTTTTTTGGCAGGGGTGTGGTGATGATGATTCTTGCCTGAAGATGGATGCAGGAGAATGGATAAAAATGAATTGATTGAAAATAGAAGAAATGAAGGTTTAAGTGATTAGTTCAGTAGGTAGGTGAAATTGTTAATGTTAGAATTGAATGAATAAGAATAAATTGTATTAGTACATATAGCTCCATCCAGCATGGAGCTAGTCGCTTTACCTGCATGCTGGATGAAGCTAGCAAACCTAGCTCCATGCAGGATGGAGCTAGCAAACCTAGCTCCATGCAGGCCAACCTAGCTCCATCTTGAATGGAGATAGCCATCATTAAATAGTAATTCCCACAACCTTAACCAGAAATTTCCTACTTAAATACAATATCACTAATTTGGTTGTGTGGAGAGCCCACATTAGTGCAGACTCCGAACAATGGAGAGTGGACTCCACACACTCCACATTTAGCGGAATACACCTTAAACGAATTGTTTGTTTGTTGATCAGTGTCACTTGGTTAATTTGTTTCACTTCCCAAATGCTTTTTGAANATCTTTCTTATCTGAACTACAAGTAAATAACATATTATTCATCAACTGATTTCTTCTCCATTGAAAACAAAAGTAAAGTTCGAATTCACACAGAGTATGTTGATAAATATCTGATCTTTCCTATCTCAACTCCGAATAAACGACTTATTTCTTCTCCATTGAAAAGAAAATTTTCGAATTTAAACAAAGTAGTACCATTTCTGCAAAAATAGAGAGGGAGCTACAGAATTCAAGGTTTGATATTTTTTTCATACCGTTCTCTGTTATTACTGTTTTTATGTGGTTTAAAATATATATAAATATAACAATGTAGTGATAATGATAATGAATATATGTTATGTCTCCATGGGAAACGAAGACGTGGTTGTGCCTCCATTCCCCACGGAGACACCCTTCTTGTGACCCAAAACGGCATGTCGTCGTTTGAAACGCATAGCTGACATTTTCTACGCATACCTAAAACGGTGCATGGACGTTTTTTCGCGTCATTTTCGTTCATTCAGCCCTTTCTACGAATTTAGTGTTCAGTTCTATTGATTCAGCTACTGCTTTGGATATCTAAAATGGCGCGCTGACGTTTTACAAATTTAGTAAACCTAGCTCCCAAAACGGTATATTACGTTTTACGAATTTAGTAACCTAGCTTCATCCTGGATGGAGCTAGCCAACCTAGCTCCATCTTGAATGGAGATAGCTTTAATATAATTCCCACAACCCCTAACCAGAAATTTCCTACCTAAAGACAGTATCACTAATTTGGCTGATTGTTGTTTTGGATACCTAAAATGGCTTATGGACGTTTAATCGTATGACTGCTATTTTTTAGAATTCGCAATACTTTCGTTCATTTCACCCCAGACCTTGTGATCCAAAACGGCATGTTGCCGTTTTAAATGTATAGCTGACGTTTTACGAATTTAGTAAACCTAGCTCCCAAAACGGCATGTTGCCGTTTTAAACGTATAGTTGACGTTTTACGAATTTAGTAACCTAGCTCCATCCTGGATGGAGCTAGCCGACCTAGCTCCATCTTGAATGGAAATAGCTTTAATGTAATTCCCACAACCCCTAACCAGAAATTTCCTACCCCACTAATTTGGCTGATTGCTGTTTTGGATACTAAAATGGTGCATGGACGTTTTAATCGTATGACTGCCATTTTTTAGAATTCACATCACTTTCGTTCATTTAGCTAGCCCAGACCTTGTGATCTAAAACGGCATGTGGCCGTTTTAAATGTATAGCTGAAGTTTTATGAATTTAGTAAACCTAGCTCAAAATTGGCATTGCCATTTTAAACGCATAGCTGACGTTTTCTACGCATACCTAAAACGGGCCCATGGACGTTTTAATCGTATTTTAAACGCATAGCTCAAAATTGGCATGTTGCCATTTTAGGTTGAATTCGCGTCATTTTCGTTATTCATCCCCCACAAATCGAACCTTGTGACCGAAAACGACATGTTGCCGTTTTAAACGCATAGCTTACATTCTACGAATTTATTGTTCAGTTATACTCATTCAGCTGATTGTTGTTTTGGATGGTGCATGTATTTTCTAATTCAGTGGTCAATTTGCAGCCCCCCATTTTGTGACCCAAAACGGCATATTGCTGTTTTAAACGTATAGCTGACGTTTCTATAAACCCATCTCCATCCTGGATGGAGCTAGCCGACCTAGCTCCATCTTGAATGGAGATAGCCATCATTTTTCCACAACCCTAACCAGAAATTTCCTACCCAAAGACAACATTACTAATTTGGTTGATTGCTGTTTTTGATACCTAAAATGACGCATGGACGTTTTAATCGTATGACTGCCATTTTTCTAATTCATGTCGTTACATTATGATCCAAAATAGCATGTTGCCGTTTTAAACGTATAGTTGACATTTCTACGAATTTAGTGTTCAGTTCGCTGATTGCTATTTTGGATACCTAAAATGGCACATGGACGTTTGCCATTTTTCTAATTCAATGTTCAATTCGCATCACTTTAGTTCATTCAGCCCCACAAGTCGAGACCCTGTGACCCAAAACGGCATGTTGCCGGTTTAAACGCATACCTGACGTTTCTAAAAATTTAGTATTCAGTTCTAATGATTATTTTTGTTTTGGATACCTAAAATGGCGCATGGACGTTTTAATTGTATGACTGCCATTTTTCTAATTCAGTGTTTAATTGACATCACTTTCGTTCATCAGCCCCATAAGTCGAGACCTTGTGACTTAAAACGTCATGTTGTCGTTTTAAACGCATAGCTGACGTTTCTACGAATTTAGTGATCTGATTCAACTTAGTGTTGTTTTGGATACCTAAAATGGCACATAGATGTTTTAATCGTATGACTGCCATTTTTCTAATTCAGTGTTCAATTCACATCACTTTTATTCATTCAACCTCCACAAGTCGAGACCATGTGATCTAAAACGGCATGTTGCTGTTTTAATTGCATAGCTGACGTTTCTGTTCAATTCTACTGATTTCATTTAGCCCCACCTGTGATCCAAAACGGTATGTTGCCTTTTTAAACGTATAGCTGACGTTTCTATGAATTTGGTGTTCAGTTCTACTGATTCAGTTCTACTCATTCAGTTGATTGCTGTTTTGGATACCTAAAATGGCACATGGACGTTTCAATCGTATGACTGCCATTTTTCTAATTCAATGTTCAATTCACATCACTTTCGTTCATTCAGCCCCACAAGTCGAGACTTTGTGATCCAAAATGGCATGTTTCCGTTTTAAACACATAGCCGATGTTTCTAGAATTTAGTGATCAGTTCTACTAATTCAGCTGATTGTTGTTTTGGATACCTAAAATGCATGGATGTTTTATTCGTATGCCTGCTATTTTTCTAATTCAGTGTTCAATTGACATCACTTTCGTTCAGTCAGCCCCATAAGTCGAGACCTTGTGACTTAAAACGTCATGTTGTCGTTTTAAACGCATAGCTGACGTTTCTATGAATTTAGTGATTTGATTCAACTTATTGTTGTTTTGGATACCTAAAATGGTACATAGACGTTTTAATCGTATGACTGCCATTTTTCTAATTTAGTGTTCAATTCATCACTTTCATTCATTCAGCCCCACAAGTCGAGACCATGTGATCCAAAACGGCATGTTGTTGTTTTAATTGCATAGCTGACATTTCTGTTCAATTCTACTGATTTCATTTAGCCCCACTTATGACCTAAAATGGCATGTTACCGTTTTAAACGTATAGCTGACGTTTCTATGAATTTGGTGTTCAGTTCTACTCATTCAGTTGATTGCTGTTTTGGATACCTAAAATGGCGCATAGACGTTTCAATCGTATGACTGCCATTTTTCTAATTAAATGTTCAATTCGCATCACTTTCATTCATTGAGCCCCACAAGTCGAGACTTTGTGATCCAAAATGGCATGTTGCCATTTTAAATGCATAGCCGATGTTTCTAGAATTTAGTGATCAGTTTTACTGATTCAGCTGATTGTTGTTTTGGATACCTAAAATGCATGGAGGTTTTATTCGTATGACTGCTATTTTTCTAATTCAGTGTTCAATTCACATCACTTTCGTTCATTCAGCCCCCACAAGTCGAGACGTGATCCAAAATGGCATGCTGTCATTTTAAACGCTAGCTGACGTTTTTTCGAATTTAGTGATCAGTTCTACTGATTTGATTGTTGTTTTGGATACCTAAAATGGCGCATAGGCGTTTTAATCGTATGACTGCCATTTTTCTAATTCAGTGTTCAATTCACATCACTTCCATTTATTCAGCCCCACAAGTCGAGACCATGTGATCCAAAACGGCATGTTGTTGTTTTAATCGCATAGCTGACGTTTCTACAAATTTAGTGTTCAGTTCTACTGATTCAGCTGATTGCTGTTTTAGATACCGAAAATGGCGCATGTACGTTTTAATCGTATGATTGCTATTTTTCTAATTTAGACATCGTAAAAAAATCCCCCTTTCGCTCCATTGTAACCACGCGTTGACGCAGTCCCCAATCCCTTTTCTCAATCTTCCTCATTCAAGTTTTTCTGTTAACGAATTTCGAAGCCTGAAGGCATCATTGTACTTGCAATACAGTGAGTTGACAGAGACTTGGTTTGGGGAAAGAAATGCAGAGACGAATCGGACGACCAGGACCAAGGCAACCAAATGCAGAGACGAACAGTTTGAGGAAAGAAATGCAGAGAGGAATGGTGAGGAACTGATTGGGGAAAGAAATGCAGATATGAACGATTTGGGGAAAGAGAGAAGATAGGGTTTTGGGGATTCAATTGATGTGAGAAAATGGGAACTTATGTGTTGTTGAATGAGGGTAGATTAGGTAGTTTAAAAATTATGATTTAAAATATTTATTTTCAAAATATAATTCTGGTCAAATGCTAAAATTCCAATTTACAGTCCAATATAAATTATATCTTTCATTTATGCTTATTTCGATTTTCGATCCTAAGATTCTTGATTCTTGTTTCTGTAAATATGGATCTCTACAAAAAAAAAAAGGTAATCTTTCTCAATTTTTGTTATCATTCTTTTGATTTGAAGGAATTTATTCAGCTTAGTTTTGTTGTTTTCAGAATTACATTTGGTAATCGACTGAGACACCATAGATCTTTTAATTATCTTCATCGGAAAATATGGCGACTATGATCCAACTCTGGTACTCTCCACTTACTGGCCACTGTCGACATTTTACCAATTTCACCTCCAGATTTGCAGACAATACTTTCCCGAGCATCCTTTCCAGTGCTGGTTCTGTGATTTTCGAGGCATGAGGCGAACTTTACAAATTAGGCCCCTCAAAATTTTTTTCCTTTGAGATTTTTCTTGTATCTTAAGTAGGCTCTAGCTTTGCGCATTCAATTTTGGACGTCAACAATCCCTATTTAGCCACGTCCATGGCCAACGTGATCTTTAACTAAAGTCTGTAAGCAGGGACGTAGCTAGGATTTCAATCTTACGGGGCGAAAATATGGGGGGTGGACCCCCTCCCAGGGGTTCGCCCCCAAAATTTTTTTTAACTAAGAGGATTAAAACCGAAAGAAATACGAAGCTATAGAAAATCAATAAAAAAAATTTAATAAAATATTTAGGAACATATTTCAAAATCTCAGATTGTAGAAGGTAAATAATAACAAAAAATCAAATATCTAGATACGCAAAAAAATTGAAATCA